TTTTTCAACTATGGAAGAAGCGAAACAATCTGCTGCAAAACATGCTATCTTAGAACTAAAGAAATCTCATGATTTTGCAATTGAAGATGTTAATTACACCAAAATGCAAGCTATTGAAGAAGCTTTTCAAAGACAATCTTCTTTGCATGAAATGGAGAAAGAAAAAGAAGCAGTATATAAAGATCATGTTTCAAGGATTGTTAAAGGACTTAGAACAATGTTACAAAGAATAAAAATATCTTACTATAGCAAGAAAAAGATGAATGTACTTCTAAACAATATCTAATAATTTTCATAGTATGTAGAATTGATTATCCATGATATAATATATATAAATTGTAGGGTTATATTTGTCTTATATATTCCATTCTCTTCTTAAAAATTACTAACAATGTCCTTAAGTAATCTATTATTTTTTTTTTTTGATCAGCAAATAAAGGATATTCGATTAACTAGAGTACAAGGGGTACTCCAACCCAAATACAAACAATTAAAATAATCTAACAAAAACAAAGTAATCCCAAGAGACATGTAATCCCACACATTCCAGTCTCACTACTCATCCTGCCGACCGTTTTTGTGCTTATGAAATGTTCTCAGCAAGCTTTTATGCTTCCTCATAGCAGCAGCACATTCCCAAGGATTAAGTTTCCAATCAACTATTGAGAAGACACTTCCAGCCACCTTGTTTTTAATCCAGAAAAATGTTTTGGACTGAATCATGTGGAGCAAACCGTCCCTACACTCCCCTTTGTTCTGGAAAACTCTAATGTTCCTCCAATACCAAATATACCAAGACCCTACAAGGAAAAGACACGCCCCAGCTCTCTCCCTACCATACCCCCCAACTCATACAAGAAAAACTCCATCACTCCTCCCACTGAATTGGGCATCACAACCTGCATACCCCACCAGGATATCACCTGAACCCAAATTAACCAGGCTTCCTCGCATGCACAAAATGATTGCACTCCTCTTTCTCCATTTTGCACAAACCACACCTTAAATCTTCTACCGCCAAATTAATCCCTCTTTTTACTAAATTTCTTTTTGTTGGGAGACTGTCCAAACATAATCTCCATCCAAAAAAGCTAACTTTTGAGGGAACTAATTTACACCAAATCAACTTACAAATATGATCAGGAAGTATGAACTCCATTGGTGACAGAAACTCATAGGCCTTCTTCACTACATATCTCCCTTCTGCATCATGCATCCACTTCCAGCAATCTTCGCGGCCTTCCGTGATTTGCACCCTGCTTAGCACCTCCCACAACACCACCTCCTCCCCCCTTTCTTGGCCCAGCATCCCTCTTCTCCAGTCAACATTCCATCTCCATAGACCCCTTTCCCACACCCCCATTTCACAAACCATACCGTCCTTATTCATAGCTAACTCAAATAACCTAGGGCATAACTCCTTTAAAGATTTACCCCCCACCCAAATTTCGCGCCAAAAACCTACTCGCCTTCCATCACCAACCATCCACCTAAACCCCTTCCTTAACATGTCATGTAATTTGATAGATTTTCCCCCGACGCTAATAACATCCCTCCAAATCCTAGACATCCTCAGACTCTCCACTGCCCTGATGTCCGCCTTCCTCCGACCCCCATAATAATATTTATCCCACATGACCCTTTTCCATAAGCTCTCTCCACCCTCACCCAACCTAAACCACCACTTCCCTAAAAGTGCCCAATTCCTCCTCCTCAAATCCATGACTCCTAACCCACCCTTCTCCTTACTACGACATACCATTTCCCAGCTAACCCAAGGAATCTTCCTCTTTAATTCAACCCCCCCCCCACAGAAAATCCCTTTGTATTCTAATCAACTCAGACACCACACAATTAGGCGCTAAAAATAAAGACATGTAAAAAATAGGTAAAGAGGAAAGTACCGAATTAAGCAGAGTGATGCGACCGCCAAAGGACAGCAAGACAGATTTCCAGACGGCAAGCTTATTTCAAAATTTATTCAGCATTGGGTCCCACAATTTCTTAGTCCCAGGATTTCCACCCACAGGCATTCCCAAATACACAAAAGGTATCTCCCCAACACCACATCTCAAAACGGATGCTGCCTCTGTTAACCACCTCTGTGCCACATTAAATTCGACAATACTACTTTTACGAAAGTTAATTCGCAATCCAGACATCAACTCAAACCACCGTAAAATGATTTTCACAGTAAAAATATTCTCTCCATTCGCTTTCCCCAAAATCACCGTATCATCTGCAAATTGGAGCAAAGAGATATTCAATCCCTTACTACCCACGTCGATTCCATGTATCAAGCCCTTTGTCTCAACTTTTTTAACTAGACCATGTAGCCCCTCGGCGATCATCAAAAACATAAAAGGGGATAGAGGGTTCCCTTGCCTTAATCCTTTTCCCATCATAAACTCCTCGATTGGGCTTCCATTCACTAACACTGAGATTCTGGCTGTTGACAGACACTCTTTTATCCATCCTCTCCATTGCACTCCAAAACCAAACCTGCTCATCATCCAATCCAGAAAAGACCAATCGGCACAATCATAGGCATTTTCAAAGTCAGCCTTAAAAATAAAAGCTTGGTGCTTTCGTCTCTTGACCTTCTCAACAACTTCGTTCAAGACTAACACCCCATCAACCAACTGACGCCCCCCAACAAAAGCAGACTGAGTATCACTAATAATTTGTGACATTACCACCTTAAGCTTATTTGCCAACACCTTTGCTAATAATTTGTAAATACACCCAATCAAGCTAATAGGTCTAAAATCTTTTAATTCCACAGAATTCAGCTTTTTAGGAATTAAAGTCAAAAAGGAAGAGTTTAGACCCTTTACTAACCTGCCATGTTGATGGAACTCCCCGAAGAAACTCACAAAATCCTCCTTCAAGCTGTTCCAGGCAAATTTGATAAAATTAAAGTTATATCCATCCGGTCCTGGTGCTTTATTCCCCTCACAATTCTTCAATCCGTCTTCAATTTCTTCTGCTGAAAATGGTCTTTCTAGCCATGCCCTCATCTCCTCAGTTATCTGCTTGAAAGTAATACTGGAAGGTTTTGGACGATTCCAAGATTCTCCACAAAACATCTTTTGAAAGTACTCAACAGCCGCCTTTTTTACCATCTCTGGCTCCTCCACCCATTGTCTATCACATGAGAGCCCTACAATGCCATTACAAGCCTTTCGTCCATTTGCAATTTTATGGAAGAATCTAGTATTTGCATCCCCCAATTTTACCCAGTTACTTCTTAACTTCTGCCTCCATAAAGCTTCCCTCTTCCTCAAAATGTCCCATATCTCCTGAAAGCCCTCCTGTCTTTCATGTACCTCATCTTCTTCCAACGTAAAATCTTCATTCTTCATGTCTACACTTGCAACTTTGGCTGCTGCCCTTTCAAAATGAGCCTCTATATCTCCAAACACCCCTTTGTTCCATTCTCGCAAAAATTCTTTCAACATCTTCAATTTTTGTTTACATCTGAAACCTGCATAACCATCCACTGCCATTGCATTCCACTGTTCCTCAACCACCCTCTTAAACTCCGGATGTTGTTGCCAAGCATCAAGCACCCTAAATGGTTTAGGACCCCAATCTGTTACTTTGGTTTTCATAATGATCGCACAATGATCTGAAATAGTTCTCCTTAACCCCTGCTGCACCCATTCTCCACCCAATTCGGTCATCTTAGTTGTCATCAACACCCTATCCAATCGGCTCATAGCTGAGCCATCTGGTCTATACCAGGTAAACCTCCGATTTGCCAATTTATGATCCACCAACCCCACTGCCTCTATAAAATCGTTAAACTCCTTCATATCCGGACTCTCCCCTGTTCTACCCCTCCTTTCTTCAATGCTACGTACTGCATTAAAATCCCCTGCAATCAGCCATCTTCCTCTTTTGTCCATAATCATTTGCTTCAACTCCTCCCATAACTCAGCTTTTTTCTTTCTATTAGTTGGAGCATATACATTTACAAGATAACACAACTCCTTCTTAACTCCCCAAAGCCCCTTTATTCCCAGATAAGCATCCCCTGTGAATTGACCCAGCTTAGTAAACCTCATCCTGTCCCACACACAGAGCAGCCCGCCTGAAGCCCCTATAGACCCCTTCACAACCCACTCAAACCCAGTTGAATACCATACCATTTTACAAAGACCCTCATCAATCTCTTCTAATTTTGTCTCTTGAACAAACAAAAAATCTGGTTTTTCTAACCGCACCAATTTCTCCACTTCCTTCCTCTTAAGCGTACTCCCGAGACCCTTAACATTAAAAGATAGCACCTTCATCAACAAATATTGCCCACACCCACACAGCCCACACCCACCCACACCTCACGGGTGCTTCCTCTGCCTCTCGTCCTTTTCCTCCAACACACATAATCTAGATTCAATCTCCTCTTCATTTTCTTGGAATTGCATACCCAATCTTCTCCCTATACTCATCATCTTCCTCACCTCCTGCAGGTTTAGATCTCGTTTTATTACCTGGTTTCGGTGCTCAATGCCTCCATCGGACACAGACATACTTCCAGCTCTCTTCACCATTTCGTCGGTCACCGTTTGAGCCTTCTTTGCCCGCCTTGCTTGCCTCTGCTTTGTCCGTGCAGTGACCAAGTCCACCCTCTCTGTCCGGATTTCATACACTTCCTCCGGGTAACACTCTGCAATTTTCTTCCTCCTTTTACCCTTCCCATCTCTGGATTTGTCTTTATGAACTATGCAGGAATTCTCCAGAACATCCCCCGTGGAAACCTCCTCTTTATCTTTAATTTCCTCACCTGTTGGGCCTTTAGAAAGCCCAAAACTCTCCTCAAGCCCAATATGAGCATCGCTCCCTACCAGCCCATTCCCCTCGTCATTCGCCTCTCCTGCATCATGCCCATTTACTTCCCCAACTTCCCGCGGCAAACCGAATCCAGCATTATCCTTGCCAGCCGTTACCTCCTGTAAATTTGAATTAAAAAAACCTTCCTTATATAACGACTCCGCCTCTATACTATCATCATCCTCGCCGCTAATCCCGTTAGCAAATAATTCATGCCCGTCATCGTCGCTCTGCATTGAATTAGTTTCCGATGCCGTGCTCCACGAGCTCCTCCGGTCATCCTCCGACAGCCACCAGTCCGGATCCGATCTCCATTCCTCTTCCACTACGTCTATCACATACAGCTTCTCATCCACCCTCAGCATAATGGATTGTGAGACTTTAGATGCATCAGAACAGAGAACCAGCACCCTCCCATCACACAAAATAGCCTTCCTTCTGGTATCATCATGAATCATGACCACTTCCCCCACCGTTCCTCCAACCATTTCAAAACAACGATCATTCTAGGCTTGTAATGGTACCCCTGATATTCGTAACCAGGCCAATCGACATTGTTGCATAGCTGCTGCTCTCCAAGGTTGTATATTTTCAAACCATGAATCGAATGTCTCCTTGTTGTGCTGCATATACTCCATCAGGAATCCTCTCACCCGCTCCATTAACAGCACTGATCGTCCTCCTAGTGGTGATATAGTTATCAGCCCTCCATCTACATCCATTCGATCTTGTATACTCATTATCGACGCCAACGACTTCATCGAAGCAACCATACTCCCTTCCAGCCATTGAAGCTCCTCTTCTGTCGGTGTGATCTCAATGATCACCTCCTCCTGTTGTTTCTCAACCCCACCCATCTTCACCTCCTTTGCAACCAGCTTTACACTCGACCCCACCTCTTCCTTCTCCACTAATCGTAGTGCCTGTACTGGTTCTAGTGCTTCCCCAACTCTCTCCTTCGCATTTGTTGGCCTTACATCCACCTGTTCCCCTTCACTGCTGTTGCCCACAACAGCCTGGGCATATGACTGTCCCGGTTGCACCAGTCTATTCATTCCTACCTTTGTCCACTTCACCTTTGCTGCAGTCGAGGCTTTTTTATTTCTTGCGCCTTGGTTCTGGATCTTATTTGCTATCTTAACTCTCATCTTATAATAACCAATCCATATCTCATTCAGCCACTTCTCCATCTGATCCTCGTTCTGCACCCCTGCCATTCTAACAAAGCCAAACCTTTTGCCCCACTTATCTCTCTTTCTCGGCACAAACACATCAACCACTTTCCCATACTTTGCAAAATCATACCATAAGTCCGCTGCCTCACTGTTTTCTGGAAAATTGTAGAAAAAGAATGTCTTCACTTGTCTATTAATCTGATTATCAACCCCGTGTAACTGCCCTCTGGAAACTTGCCGCCGTCTGGATCCGCCGTCTGTCCTCGCCGTCGCACCCCTCGCTCCAACCCTAGCACGCTCCATCGCTGATCGTATTTATAATCGATCAAGTCTAATAGTTAAATTTATTCTATTTATATAAATTATATGTTTTAAATTTAGTGTTGGGATTGCATCTAGACTTTGTGGCCCGACGGCTCTATACCCCATAATAAGACGCCTCCCCCAATCATAGGATTAGTGTTCGAATTCCTTCATCACCAAGTTGTAAACCATTCAAAAAAACAAATTTAGTTTTGGGACTGTTTCACAATTAATAATTTTTATTTCACAATATGAATTACAAAATATGAAATTCTTAGGTAAAAGCAAATTGTGTCTTGTCTTGTGTATATATATATATAGAGAGAGAGAGAGAGGCAACCTTTGCGATGGTTATAGCACTGTTCAATAAAAATGCAGACATCAGTGGCATGCAATGGACGTAATTACGAAAGCTTTATATTATAGGAGTGCAACGTTTATAAAACTCAGACTTAAGTTCAAAATGAGTTTGTTGATCAAAACCGAAAATGCATAATGAGTCTATGAGCTGTGTGACTCTTTGACTGTGACATCGTACTACCTACTTATAATTTTTTTGTTATATCTAATGTTAATTACATGATAT